AAAAAATGTTTTTTAATAAAATATTTTTTAGAATTTTTCAGAAAATTCTTAGTTTGTTGTGTCATGTCAACAATAGCAAATCTTTTTGATAAAAATTTTTGAAAAAAAAAATTCCAAAATTTTATCTTCTCTGCATGTTTCTCATTAAATAATAGCGTTTTTGAAAAAAATTATAATTTTTTTTTTTTGAATTTTTTGGTTAAATCCAAATTTTACTGTGTCACGTGATCACAGGGTGAAAAAGTTTCATGAAAGTTTTTGAAATTTTTTTTTTCAAATTTTTAGTTTTTCTGCATGTTTCTTGTTAAATAAGAGCATTTTGAAAAAAAAATTTTTGAAAAAATATTTTTTTGAATTTTTCAGAAAATTCTTTTTTTGTTCTGTCATGTCAACAATAGCAAATCTTTTTGATAAAAATTTTTGAAAAAAAAAATTCCAAAATTTTATCTTCTCTGCACGTTTCTCATTAAATAACAGTTTTGAAAAAAAATGTATAAAAAATGTTTTTTGTGAAATACTATACCAATAAGATCCTGAACAAATCTCCGAAAATAAAAGTTTCTCAAAAATGACTAAAGATGCACTCATTTGCCTTAAAATACTTAGCTATGTCCATTTTTGTGGTTTAAATTCAGAAAATCAATGCTTTTTTGGTACGCCAATTTTTTATCATATTGTATGTCACTCTTTTCCAACACAAGATATGTTGATTCATTAAATGCACACATTTGTCATAGCAAATAACATTTTAAGCAGGGTTCCCACATGGATAACCTTTTATTTTCTTTACAGTTTCTGTAATGTTCTTATTACATTGATTGACATTGTTTTTTTAATTCAATTAACTTATTGTCTCATAACAACAGTAAGAAAAAACATCAGTAGTTACTGAAACTTCTCTTTCTATTTGTACACATTTGTTTTAAAGTGTATTAATTAAATAAAATGGATGGAAACTAAAATCATATGATCTCTGTTACAATCTTTGCTTCTTTAAGGTCACTTTATATATCACTATGAAAAAATTACGTAAACATATCCCTCATCAAAACATTTATTTTGTTCTGGAGCACAGTACTCTCTATCCCGTAGGAAAATTCCTGGGGGCTGTAACAGAACATAGAGTTGTGAGTACTGTCTGTAGACATGTGGTCAGAAGCATTTGCTCAACAGGCTTTAACTGTGCTCTTACATACATTATCTTCATTTAAGTTCATCATACTCTCTGTAGCGGTTCATGCTAATGGGATTGGAAAAACCAGGGCTTACATATACATTTAAAGTTCATCTCACCTAGGCTTATGGAAAGCATTCTCCAGACCTTGGCTGTGGGGCCTGTGTATCTATCATTTAACTCCTTATAATCCCCAGTAACGACTCAACATTTGTTAAGGATATACTCCTTAACCTGCTGTAGTCAGGAGTTGCCTCAGTAGATCACCTGTCTCCACGTCTGTCTTAGGTCCCTTTTCTATAAGATAATAGTTTTTTCAGGTTTTCCGAAAATTTCTGCCAAGAGTCGAAAAAGTGAGTTGTTTAATGGGTAAGAAGTAGCCTTTTTGTTAATTTTCATTCTTACACGTCGATTCCCCTTAACAGTGGAGCGTTTTCCGGTGCACTTCCGGGTTTAATTTCAACCTCGCCCTCGATGCAAAAAAGTTATAGCTATTCCAATTTCTGTACTCGGCCTCTACAATTATAAAACGAGCTAGGATAAGCCCACACAGCATTTAAAACGTCGCCATTTCAAATGCAGAAATATGAATGACTGCAACCTCATAGGCTGCGAAAAAAAGACTCGATTCATGTTGGCTTTACAAGTAATATGGATGGCCAACGAGCAATACTCGCCGTTGTGTGTGAAGCGTTTATAGATCTATTATGCCAGGCCGAGTCATCACACCGGAAGAGCAGAGTTTTGACCGTGAGTGAATGAATAAACCACGATTGTCATTTGGTTGTTTCTCAAACGCTGAGCAATAACTAAGAAAGGAGATGTCAGGTAATTAAGAGTAACTTCTTTATTCAATGACACATTGTACAACCAATAGGACGTTTTTGTGTGACAGAATAAACCTACCGACGGGTGTTGCAGCTGCAGCTGTGTTCCTGTTCAAAGTTCATCGTTGCAGGCTTAGCTGCAGTGGCTAACATTTCAAGCCTGTCAGGTGTCCACTCATATACTTTTATATCCTACAGTTTTAGAATTGCATGAATTTAACCTTAAATACCGGTGTAAATTCTTACTGCTTAAAAATGACTTCCGAAATCAATATTTAATATTAATATATTATGCGTTTTAGCTACATTAGCTCATAAATTATCTAAATAAACTGTGAAGATTTATGTCTCTGCTGGTGGGTGCTCGCGGTGCATGCGTGACTCGATGCTATTCGCTCTTTTGACGTCGTCTCACAGTAAAACATTAGATCAACTGACAGCAGCCGCAGTAATGAGCACACACGCACGCGCGTTCTCTCTCGCTTGTATTGTATACGGGGGTAGTTGTCAGTGCAACCTGACGGCTTAAGTGGAGAAAAAAAACCCACAAATTCCATAATTTAACACCACAGCAATGAATGGAACCGTTCGCTGCGCTAAAAGGCAGTATATGTGAATACAATCAACCAACTCATCAACAACTTCACACATTCTTTATTAACCCTAATATGAATTATACCGGCATGATCACAACTGACTTTTAATGAGAAAATTATATTGTATGTTAAATAAACGTGTTTTTATATTTTTAAATAAAAAGTTTTACTAACAACACACCAGGAAATTCTAATATTTTATAGAATTATTTTTAATTCCATCATATTTGCACGTGGCCAATCATGACACTAATGCATAAACCTCATGTAAGGACAGTAAGATGTTTTTGTTTCTTTTTTCCTCCAGGTGGAGTTTTGATGTTATCTCCCACACTGATGCCTCAACAATGATGTGTAAACATCCTCAAGCAGATATTAAAGAATGGCAAGGTTTAAGCGCAAATTTTGCATCACATTGTTAGCTTTTGTGTTGCTTCTCCTTATTATCACTGTGATCTTAAAGGCCCTTACACCTGAAGACTCTCCGATTAGCAGCCATCTAGGGGGGGGTCTGTTTCCAGACAGAAAAGATGACAGTAGTGGTGAGAGCAACAACAAAAAACTTAGTGAGATCAAAATGAATAACACAGTTAAGACAGAGAAAAACAAACAACTGGAGGCTTTGATGGGGACATTCCCTCCTCCCAACTACTACCTTCACACCTTCTACTATACATGGTATGGGACCCCTAAATTTGATGGAAAATACATTCACTGGGACCATCCACAGCTGGCACACTGGGACATGAAGGTGGCTCAGAATTACCCACAGGGCAGACATAGCCCTCCGGATGATATTGCGTCTAACTTTTACCCCTCTTTGGGAGCTTACAGCTCCAGAGATCCCTCTGTTATAGAGGATCACATGCAGCAGCTGCGATCAGCAAGTATTGGTAAGAAAACTTTTCTTTATATAGCAAGATGTGTGGTCAACACCAACATAATTAATCAAAGTACAGTCCTTAACCATGGTGTCTCTAATTGATCATATTTATAATAATTCTAAACACATTTTGCTGTACTTTTGTTAAACTAAATAGAAAAATGATTTTTTAGGGATTATTTACCTTTAATGTAAAAAAACAGGGTAAACTCTAGTGAGGCAAAATGTGTTTTGTGAGTGTACACTAGAAAAATTGAGTTCACTTGACATGTCTTGAATTTTTATTTTAGACACAGTTTGACTTGTTGCTGTGCATATCTTAGGTGTCATAGCTCTTTCGTGGTATCCGCCCAATTACAAGGATGATAATGGTGAGCCCACAGATGACATTGTGCCATTGCTGCTGGATGTGGCACAAAAATATCACATTAAGGTCAGTAACACTAACTATTCTAATCATTTTATTTGTTAACAGCAACAGATGTCAAGAGGAAAAAATAAACATTAGCGCGCAAAAAATTGATCTCCAGAAATTTTCACTATATTGCGAAATATAGCTAAAAATATTCTAAAAGACTAAAAGTTTTGGCTTTGAAAATGTGGATTCTCATTTTGAAATTTTCGAGATTGACGAGACACAGCAACATTGACTAATTAAGCAGGCTCTTCTGTTCCTCACACTGATTGGCTTATGCATCGTAGCATCTCTCAGCATCTCCCCTTGTCTGTCAGCCACTCTGTCGTTCACTTCACTCTGCGCCGTCATTATACAGCTCTCTTGTGCATATAATTGTGTGGGAAAGGGTAAGGTGGGGGAGGTTTGTAAAGGGTAAATATATACGTAAATGATATAATAATTATCTCGCCTCGCAATTTTTGCATTTCGTGGTTGGTCTTGGAACGCAACTACCACGATAGGAGAGGGACCACTTTATTCTTATTTTATCCTGATCAGCGGATGATGATGGATGGAAGGAAGTATCTGATGACCTGCGATTAAAAAAGTTAGGACAAAATTAAAATTAAAAAAATTAAAATAAGACAACTGAAAACTGTAAGTAAATGTTATTCCTTTTTTAACGTCCTTATCACTGTCTCTATTTACAGGTTGCTTTTCACATTGAACCCTACCAAGGGAGAGATGAGGTTAATATGTTCTCAAATGTCAAATACATCATAGAGAGGTGAGTAGTACTGCATTCCTGTTATACTGCAAGTCTTTGTATCATGCCTCATGCACTAATCAATAAATGTCATGTTCCTCACACTCTGCTGAGTCCTGTGACATTTCCCTCTGTTTTGTTTTTTTTCAATTATCGACCCTCCGTCCTCCTCAGATACGGTGAGCACCCAGCGTTCTTCAAGTATCTGACTAATACTGGCAACAGTCTTCCACTCTTCTATGTATACGACTCATACCTGATGAATTCTGAGCAGTGGGCCAAGCTGCTGAAACACACCGAAAACAACAGCATCAGGGACACACAGTATGATGCTATCTTCATTGCCCTTCTGGTGGAGGAAAAACATAAAAGAGAAATCCTCACGGCTGGTTTTGATGGCATCTACACTTACTTTGCTACTAATGGATTTTCCTATGGGTCCACTCAGCGGAACTGGGACTCGATTAAAGCTTTCTGCGAAGACAACAACCTCATGTTCATCCCAAGCATTGGCCCAGGATATATCGACACAAGCGTCCGGCCCTGGAATTTTCAAAACACCCGAAATCGCATTAATGGCAAATATTACGAAACCTCATTTAGCTCAGCCATAGAAGCCAGAGGTGATTTTATATCAATAACATCTTTTAATGAGTGGCACGAAGGAACGCAGATCGAAATGGCAGTTCCGAAGAAAAGCCAGACTGTGTACCTGGACTACATGCCTAATAAACCTTCAATCTACCTAGAAATAACTCGCAAATGGTCGGCCATATTTGATAGTGAGCGACGCAAGTGGCCTCGTTCACAATAAGTTCTCCAAGAACTTTGGCTAGTAATTGTTACTGATATGATATGGGAATATTCATATGTTCCATTCCATGCATGATTTCCTCATATTATCTATGGCTCAATGGAAACCGAATAGAAATAAATGTAAAAAAAAAAATCAAGATTTTTACATGGATAAAATGTAATAAGCTTAAATTACGGTTTGCAACAATGTCTAATAACTGCTACTACATACTGTATTGCCTTAATGTTTCCATAGATTAGTGTTCGCCAAACCTTTGAGCCATGACACATATTTTACACTAGTTAAATCCTACAGGGAACTACCAAACAAATGTATATGCAATGACATGATGATCTTCTAGCTTCAAATTACTTAATTTTGTTGTTCAGTGTGAACCTGGGCCTGTTTAGTTGAACACAATAATTGAAGAAAGTCACAAGAACTTCAACTGCTCTGAGTCTGTCTTTTAAATTTCATGGCCAACATCTGCCACAAAGTGGATTTAATAGGTCTGTCCCTGTTGCACAGATAAACAAATAAATGTTACTTGCAGTAAAATAAAAGTTTTCAGAGCAATTGAGATGTAAAATTGGATAATTTTTAGATTTTTGGATAATCTTGGGTGCACTCGATGATCTCTCATGACAAACTAATGGGCCGTGGCACAGTGGCTCGGAAGTTGACACTTCTCCGCATATATATTGAAATTACTAGGGCAGAATTATTGATGTTTGACAATTACTTACCTCATTACTTGACATCATTACTTCATTTATGTATGTAACACTAGATAGTGTGAACATAGTAAAAGGCAACCACTGATCTTATGATATTTCCTCCATTCAGTGTAATAAGTCTAGTAATAAAAAAATGGATTATGACACGTTGATTTAATATTTTTAAAAACATTAATTCAAATGTAAATGTAGTCATTTTATATTCAGAGGATGATGTTGAAAACCTGCATGACAAGAATAAATGCCTCTAGCAAAACATGTAACTTCATTTTGCTAGAGGCAGAGCTGAGTATTCTTCAGTTATATTGAATAATACTGAATAAATACGTGTTATTAGCTTAAACAAATGCAGAAACCGTTGTCTCATCCGCCAAGTCCAGCATTCACTTTGAAAATGTCTGTTTAGCTAATTGTGCTGCTGTTATTGTGCTGTTGTTGTGTTGTAGAAAATCCTCATCTCTTAAAGTTTTTTACCAGTAAAAACAAACACTTTCAGAAAATGTGATTTTTTTTTTCAGAATAACAGATTAAAACGAAGTGTTCACTCTTACACAGCTCCTCAAATTACAAAATACTCACTTCGAGGCATTTTCTTATCGATCAACATGACCTCTTAACTTAATATTTTAAACTTTGAACTATATTATAGTCTTTATTATTATTTTATATTAACTAAGTTGTAACTATAAAAGCAGCACAATAACGTTTGACAATATATTTTGTTTCGTTTACGTCACTTCCGGGGCTCGTACAATTAAGGCACTGTCTCACTCTTGAGTGTAGGCCAGTGTAGTGTGGTATCACCATCATTATTATTATAACTATTATTATTTTAATAACAACAACAACATTAAAAACAACAATAATAATAATTAGAATTCGTCTGTACCTTTTGAGTTAAATAAAGGAACACGGAAAAAACACGGAATCAGCAACCTAAAGAAACCCAAAGGACACACGGACACGCGCACGCGTGCACGCAGCCTCCGCCGTAGTCCGCAGTTGCATTGAGAATAAACAGAAAGGTAGTGCACTGGCAGACAGTCTTCACATGCCTGGACATAGATACATGGCGTCCTCCCGTTGAATTGATGCTGTGCATACTGACGGGATATTCGAGCCAATAATAACATTAGCACATCATAATAAAAGACAGCAAATGTCATTATTGTATCGGTGGCTGTGAGGATTCAGCGCCCATCGCATCGCCAGTCAGGTTGAATCGAGATAAAGACGATGGATGGAGGCGCATCCAGCTCCATTGCTGCAAATACGGTGGATTTTTCTCTTTTTTTTTTGCTCTCCCTCCCCATCGCGTCCTTCCAACCATCACCACCACCATCATCCGCATGTAGCAAGGTGTCTTTGAGACGGTTTAAGGACATCTGGAGGAAATGAGTAGAAGGGACTATTTTGACTCAACGCCTGTCAAGATGGTGAGTGGAATAGATGCATGGCTATTTAGCTCCTTCTTGGATGAGCAGCGCGATACCTGCTTTTGGCGACTGATTATGGTCAACTAATTATAGATAAATATGCATGTATATACATTTCAATTCAAATATAAATGTAGCGACTGCTTTAATGTTATATTTTCTTCTTCCATTCCTCTGTATGCTACCCATCTTTTGCATGCACAATATTTGTTATGTGAATGGACTCACACTTAAAGGAAGAACGAGGGTCGTTTTGCATGAAGTCTAATGAAATGGTGCTCTTCTCTGCTTAAAGCCCTAAGCACACCTTGCAGGGTGCTTAGGCCAATTTTACAGGCACATAAGTGCCGTGATGAGCTGGACAGAAATGTGTATTATTTTTGTGAAAATGCAGCATCGTCCTCGTCCATGTCTGTGCAGCCTCCCAGCCATTTGTCCAACACATCATCACAGTTTTAAAATGACCTTCAGTGCTCAGTGGCTGGAAATGAATTCTCACCTGGGATGACGTGTCTTTTTACAACCACTGCCACCTCATCACAAGAATATAAATCAGAATGAAAGTCCTCGTAAAACATACCCATATATATTTAATTTCAAAGCACACAGCCATTTTACCTGTTACTAAGACCACTTTAAGAATTTGATGCCATACTATCGGTGATACTCGCTGTGTTCTGTGCACGTCCCTCATCCTGTCATTTCATACACAGCACTGCTGCAGACCAAACCATGCCACGCACCCAAATACACTGGTATATTATTTCAAATGTGAATAAATGTGGCAGTGTTTTTTAAGCAGAAATGTATACGAGTCATACTACCCTCACTAATACAAACTGCTCTCGGTACGTTAAATACTCATTATTTTTTTGATTTTATCCAAAGAGCTTATTACACTTGTGTCTGTGTGCTTCTTACTGGTTGATGGACACATCAACCATTTACATAATTATATATATATATACATTTTAGATAGATAGATAGATAATATAGAAACGTATACATATTACTAAAATATCAAATTGATGCTGCTTAGGAGCGTTCCTTTTCTTTTTTTTCTGGCAACGCACCATTAAGATTCCACTGAATCAGCATAATATAAAGAGTTCAGCAGAATTCAAGAGTTTCTGCGTTTTGACCAATAACTTGACACTTTTGTGCTTGTGAATTCACATCTAGCAAGTTCAAGCATTACGGCCGACTGCTGCTGACAGACATAGATGTAAGAGGATTTGCCAACATAAAAACATATCGATACTGAAAGCCTTTAAAAGGGGTTACACTCATTCGGGTCATTTAGCATTAGGGTGCAGATCTGTTTTCACTGGTCTTATTATAAAACACAATTGATGGTATGGATGGTGGGGATAACACGTGTTGTTATGCTATGGTCAATAGCATTCTCCTAATGTCATAATAGATAGAAGAGCAAGGAATGTATTTCAGGAGGATTCACCCTTAAGATGGAAAACACAATATTTTCCAATGGTGATGCACATTTAGTGTATGTAAATAATCCCTTGACTAACTTGTCTGACCTCTATCAGTCCGGCTTATCAAACAACCCAGTCACTCAGTTAAGATTGTTTAGTGCTAACATAAGTACATAAGCAAACTGAAGAAATTTTCCTCAAGAACAAAGGTGGACATTCTTTTTGTCTCACAGGCCAAAATGAGGTTCATAATTTTAGCAGCAGGCTTCTTCATTATTGGCTGGATGTAGAAATCTGGGCGAAATCAATTAAATAAAATGTACAAGATTAAACCAAAACGTTCAAAGAAAACTTGGCACATTTGATATCTGCTGTCATCCAGTGGCACCATCTAAAATTACAATTGATTTGTTGTAAACATAACCATGCCCTGTACCAGTGTTTGGCGGATTATCAGGATTATTTACTCAACAGGTGGTTTCTGGCCCTTTATGGCAGGAGTTTGCAAGTCTAAATGCATCAAACATCCTTCCTACCCTGCACGGGGTGCTATAACCCCAGTTGTCTGGCTCTGTGAATTGTTCATGTTCGTACTCTGGTGTGTTATTTTTTTGTCTTTTCAACTTGACATTTTCTCCTTTCTCTCTTTTTTCCTTTCTCTTTGTTTATAGAAGGCATTACTGAGAAGACCTGTTCTTGTAGACTCAACTGATTAGATTGTCATTCATGAGAGCAACACAGACATCACTTCGTTGAGAACCGTCATCAAAAGTCAATACCTCTTTCATCTTAATGTAGGAATACTTTGCTGAATTTACCCAGATTTCAACATCAAGTCAAATCCACCAGGTCAGTGCCAAATGTTCTAGTATTAAGTTCATAGATCATAGTTCTGACAACAGGTGAACGGTTTGTCTAGGTGCAGGTAGTCTTGTTGTGCATTAACTCTGAACCACTAATCCTTTAACTAACAGTTAAAGTTAAACTAAAAAGTCACATGATCATTAAGTCCCTGCATTAAGCATTAAATCCTGTGTTTTTTCCATTTCCCAGGACAGGAGTATGCTATCTGCACCTTTTCACAGAATACTACGACCCCTGCTGTTTGGCACATTTGTACTGGGATGCTTTGTCACTCTGTTTTTGATGTATTTTAAACCGTCCACCAGCTGGCTATCAGGTTCTGTAGAGTCAACAATTTCCACAGACAGAGTCAAGAACCTCTTCTCCAACAAGAGTGACAAGAATGTGACGACAGTGCTGATCTGGCTCTGGCCGTTTGGACAAACGTATGACCTGAATGTCTGCAGCTCCGTGTTTAACATCGAGGGCTGTTTTATCACAGCAGACAGGAACTTCTTCAATAAGTCTGACGGGGTCATCATTCATCATCGAGACATCTGCTCTGATCTGTCCAATCTGCCACCACTGCAGCGACCGTCCTTCCAGAAGTGGATATGGATGAACCTGGAGTCGCCGTCACACTCGTCCCAGCTGTCTGGGATTGAGAACCTGTTCAATCTGACTCTCAGTTACCGTCAAGATGCTCACATTGAAGTGCCTTATGGGAGCATTGTACCAGCAGAAGGTGAGGAGGACTTTGTCCCACCAAGCAAGACCAAGTTGATCTGCTGGATTGTGAGCAACTGGAACGCAGACCATGTGCGGTCGAAATACTACAATGAGCTGTACAAACACATCGAGGTTCACGCATATGGACAAGCCTTTGGGGAATACATAGCTGATCAGGATTACTTCCCCACCATTGCCAGCTGTAAGTTCTACCTGGCTTTTGAAAACTCCATCCATAAAGACTACATAACTGAGAAACTGTACAACCCACTCTCGGTGGGGACAGTCCCAGTGGTTCTGGGCCCGTCTAGGCAAAACTACGAGAACTTCATCCAGGGTGACGCCTTCATCCACGTGGATGACTTCCCTTCACCCAAGGAACTGGCAGATTACTTGCTGCTCCTAGACAAGAACGAGAACATGTACCTCAGGTACTTTGAGTGGCGGCGGCACTTTAAAGTTAAAAAGGTCAACTTTTGGGAAGAGCACACATGTCTGGCTTGTGATTACTTGCGTAGGCACAAAGAATATAAGACATTCAATAATCTTGACAAGTGGTACTGGGGTGGGTAGAGATTTGGGGGGTTACCAAGCGTTTGATGTGTTGGAGAGGGCAGTGCTTTAAGATCTTTAATCCTTTGTTTCAAACTGTAGACTAAATGTAAGGAATGGACATTGTCAACCAGAAGTGCTCTGCTGGTTCTTGAGGTAACTGTGACTATATGTAATTCTTTGGAGAAATAGACTACGTCAATTCATAGCTAAAGAAATGTTTTCCCACATGGGTCAAGAATCATCAATTTCATAATTTCAATTCCATTAAGAGGAAAATGGATGATTACATCATTGGATACATTGTCCACATACCTGCAGGTAGACTGGAATTATCCATGAGCTTTCATATGAATATGCTACTTCTGAAACCAGTGGAACATTTCTGGCCCCAGTTCCCATTTTTTCACTTGTTATCAAAGTTTATTCCTAATATTTGGCTTAGTTTGAAAAAAAGAGTTCTAATAATTAATGATCAGTGGTCCAATGTCTAACCTGATTTTTTTTTCCTTTGTCAGCGATTCTATGCCTTATTTTGCATTTTGCATCATTTTAGTATAATTTAATTAGTAAATATAGTTTTTTTATATTTTTATACAATTATGTTTCTAACACAAAACCATTTGTAGCTATTTTAAGTTTTCCAATCCAGTGTGTCTCTCTTTATTTTTATTACGATTCTCGAGAAAATACCACACAACAAACCTTGCTATAGAGTTGATTGCAGGACAGTAGAGAGACAAAAAAAGTGAAAAGGTCGTGTAATATTCATTTAGAAATCAAAATTCCATCTGTGCTAGTGACGCAGTCACCTGTGTGGTGTTTACTAAACTCAAATGTGAAAGTTGTTGAATCTTGTCATGTACATATAGTGTCGTGGGGTTTTTTTTAAACTAGCTGTGATTTCTTTTTATTTCCTCTGTATTTTTGTATTTCTGCATTTGCACAGTCAATCCAACGGTTTCCTATGGTAACGCGTGTAAAGACAGAAGCTCTGCCACGGCGTTTGTGTGGCAGCCGATGGCATATGGTGATCATTAGCCCAGTCGTCCATGACAGCAGCTGTGACTCTGAGAAGGAGGTTACTATTTTAAACGTATTGTGAAATTGTTCATTGTCACATGTGATTTGTCACAGTGCAGTCAGATCCCATGTGAAGGATTATACCGCAATGTGAAATTCCCACACCTATCGTTATGTTGCATTCTGATTTTATCTAAGTCTGTAATTTTTTTTTCATCTGAATGTGGTGGTAGAACAAGGATCAAATGGATACATGTCTGTTTAAATAACAGTTTTTTTTTGTGAACTGTCACATTCCAAACTGACAGGGTTCATCATTTTGTACCCAATGGTTAAAGCAAATGTGAATTAGACCTGATCATTCCAGTGAGCTCTGCTGGCATGTCCAATAACATGGGGGGCCAATGACAGACACAACCATTGAAAAAATGTTGACATGAAACATTCTATTGTTTATCACTTTGTGATAACCCCAAACGCCTGTGAAGTAGCCTTTGTCGCACACAGTAAAAAACATAAGCTAACTGGCTAAAGGTGGGAAGTGTAGCTAATCCAGTGTGTTTACATGACAATAGGGGAAATCAGATTATCACACCTTTACAACAATTAAATGTGCAGCATCTATAAAATATACAGTGCAGGAAAATACTTATTTTTATATACCTCTAACAAACATTGGCTACCCGTTACTGTTTCAGCTGTTTTTAGCTAATAGTAGCATTAGCTCCATTCTTAAAGATTTGGTCCTGGTACCGCCTTCTTGCTTTTTCTGTTCTTCAAGACTTTAAGACTAAATGTGAACATTTTTTTAGCGTTTATATCTTTGTAATTATCACATTCATTTAACAGGTGCCATCTGAATGGTGATGTAAAGTGTTTGAACCAAGGGATTGATGCCAAAATATTCTAGCACTAGAGCTACAGCTAGAATAATGTAGCCTACACCGATCAAGGCTACAGCTATAATCCTGCCGTCCCAGGAGAGTGGAGGTATTGCTGGCACTTTCCTGCCACCACCTCACCCTAGTGAGCCAATCAGATGCAAAATAGGTGCAGTGCTTGTTTGCAAATCACAAGAAAATGCTGCAGAGTGCATTTGACTATAACTTGATATCAAGTGGTGAGCTGCTTGGAATCGATTGGCAGGTCACATGCAGCCTGTGGGCCTTGAGTTTGATATCTCTGGGTTACACTACACTGCTGTTTTGGGAGTTGCTATTTGCATGTAGCTATTGTTTCTGTGCTTTTCTTTTACTCTCCTGTTTACAGCACAACATCAGCTGTGATACCACCAACAACAGATGCCCGTCTGTAGACACCGCAGCACACATACCTTTAATCAAAACAACATTTTCACCAAACAAAGTGTCTGACAGAAATCTGCAGCTACTAATGACAATTTCTAACAGCGGTACTGTGATACTGTATATTATCTCATTTTATGCAAGATAAGCCTTCGGGTTCTTGGTCAGACACAAGTCAAAACATGAGCCGTTGTCATTTTAATATTTCTGCGTCGTCAGAAGGGACCATGGACGTAGATAATGAATGTCTGAATTATTTTTTTGAGACGTTGACAGCTGCCATAAAGAAACCTGTTGTAGCTCACACGGACGATTCCTGTGTGTGGACTGAACAGATGGAGCTTCAGTGGAGGACGGAGAAGAGTGCATTGTGTATATATATTTTTAATGTTCAAATCTCTCTGCAACAAACAAGTGTTGCCAGGCAGTGAATGTGATTTTGCTGTACTTTAGTCAGTAACAGTTTAAGAGACTGAGTGGACATGAAAGGAGACACTTGCGACACCAGAGACAGTGGTGTCAGAGTTCATCTAAGGTGGGCGGTATTCATCTGTTACGACAGTTTTACATGGAAGAAGCTTTTATTTACGGAAACGAACGGAATGGAGGAGAAAGTCTTCTTCATGTGCACACAGGATATGACACTTTATTTGGAGTTGTGTGATTTACTGTGCTGGTGACCGTGTATGTCTTAGGTGAAGCTTTTGTGAAATCTTCAGTTGAAAGTGCCACTCATGGTTTCATATTGTACAGTCCACCCTTAAAAAAAAGCAAAAACAAAGGTTTTATGTCAAATGTGGTGAGTACATTTATGGAAAAGGGTGGCTTATTTTTTCTGTTTTCTGTCATTTTTCTTTTTTTTTTTTTTTTTTTTTGCACAAAAACACAGCCCAGTGGAGCTGTGTTTTTCTGTGACCCCCATGTCTAAGACAGTAAGTGTGTCCCAGCACTCGAGTGATCCAGGATACCTCTGGTTGTCGTCTGAGCCGCCTCCTTCAAAAACACTTGATGAAATTCTCCAGATATGTTCACTTGTCTGCCAGTTAGCTGATCAGCAATCAGTGATTCAATCAGTACATTTTTATTTTTGCCAAATCAATGTATTTTGCCAAATGTGTTTTAACTGTAGATGTCTGGTAGTGTCCAAAAAAATAAAGATTCTGACAAATGGGTAAATGGTGCATGCAATATTTTCTTTTTCTTAATGGAAATGTTTTTTATGGAAATTTCTTTATAGAATGTTTTATCAAAAAATAAATCCTATTACATCAGTGTTAATCTCAACAATTTAGTCCACACTAAATAAACACTTTTTTATAATGAAATAATTAAATTGTACTTTCTAATCACATCACTTTCCTCTTGCAGTGTACTTGTAATGATAATTTTAAATGTTGTATTATTTAAAAAGCAACCAGCAAGACACCAACAATAGCATTAATTAAATTTAATATGCTTAATTTCTGCCCATCAAATGCAATGTTAAATACATTCATCTAATCTAACAACTAGTTGACTGAGTATATTATTAAGAGAAGTTGAATTTTATCAGGTTTTTAATAACCTGAGCTGGCAGCACCTGCTGGCCAAAAGTGGTATTGCAAAGAGTAATACATTTTTACTGTAAGTGGCTCCGATGTGCTTTTTTAAATTCATTGTCTGTGCTTATGCTTTTTAAATCATCGAGAGCCGAAAGCTATACCTCGAGTCAGAGTCTTTTACGTGACAAAAATATCCTTTAATTTACTCAGACCTTCATATGACCAGAATTGACCAGAACAAATGTATTATTAATGGTATTTTACTGTCAATGAATTACTGGATTTAACCCAGTTAGTCCATCACTTAAGGTCCAAGGTCTTCAATGTTGGATTTAACCCATCACTTAAGGTCCAAGGTCTTCAATAATGTCATGGAAAACATCAATGACCCCTGCCTCAGGGTCGCAACACAGTTTGTGAAAAACACTGGTCAGTGCTTTTTCTCGACTTGGTATACTGTATCTCCAAATATGTCAGGATTTAATCCGAACATTTCTTTTTAACACACAGACTTATTTGACAATTCGAAATCTTCAATCTTTTGCAAAGTTGTTCTTGACACCTTTTGCCCGGTGTCACCTAATTCGTCGTCTTGCATCTGTATCGAATGGGATTTCCACAGCTGATGCCCATGCTGTTCGACAGAGCCATGTAATGCAGGCGGGTGTATTAATAGCCCCCCCAACAGCCTTGATAAGTGATTGACGAGAGCAAAGCGAAGGTGTTGTGGCGGATATATCACGGTCTCTTATCTGTTGTTAGTTACACCATATCCTGGATGGTACTTTGATATTTACAGTGATCTCTTTCACTTTGCCGTGAGGATGACACATCTTTGTCAACTGCCTGCAGGCGGCACCTCTGGTCCAAGTCTGTGAAGAGTGATTTTGCTGCACTGATCAGTGGTGTGAAATAATTATTGATCTCAGTTGGGGATTCATTTGAAAGTTCAGTCCTGTTCATGTTGTCAGTGTACTTGGAGGTCATTGTAGATTAAAATCAATAGAGGCTGATAAACCCCGAGGGAGTGGTTTGACATTTTGTGAGAAATTATTATTTTATATGTTTTTTGTAGCTTCAGCTCAGACACAAGTAAAGGTTGTCCAAAAAAAATCAATAAATCATCAACTGCTACAAGGAAAAAAAATTCCCCTGAAAAGGCCAAAGTAGCTACTCTACTAACAAAAAATTGCTCAATGAATGCTTATAATTAGATCATCTTCACCACAAATTGCTTAGAATAAGACAAACGACAACAAAAGACAAACCCATGTCTATTATCACCAAAAGTTAGCCAAAGCTAAAATTACCCTTAAATAATAAATTGTATAAACTAGCCAAAAATAGCAAAACCTATTTTTTTTTTACTTTTTTAACCAAAATAAGCTAAAATTAGCTTAAAATGTCTTTAACAATCAAGTGTCATCTTGTTACCAAAAATCACAAATAAGATACAAATAACTTTAACCTTACAGCATTTTAATGGCTGGAGCAGAAACTTTATTAGCGTAATGGGCCTAAACTAAACAAGTGATGCTCAGTGGAAAAAACATATACATAAATTAGACAAAAGATAAAGTAAACTAAATATTAAGGTAATTTTACTCATGTGCTACGTTAGCTAGTCGGTAGCTGTTGCCCAAACCTCCTGACCCTTATCTTTATGTCTTTGTGTGTGTGTGTGTGGGTGTGTGTATGTGTGTGTGTGCGTGTGTATGTTCCTGTACTGCATGACTTGTGCCAACTTTTCCTCATACTCATTAATACTCATATTCTGGGCCAAGATGAAAATCATTGCAAGGGCAAACAGTGTGTACAAAAATGCGAAGGACCGCACAGGGGCTAAATAGACCTACAATAATTGTTAGCAACAGGCATCAACAGCCAAATTGTTTTATATAGGTGAGAAATAGCTACACAGACTGTTTCTTTTCCGCTAACAAGCTAAATTTGGCCACATTCATTTTTTACAAACTAGCCAAAAAAATAGCATAACATGGACAAACGTTAACTTAACCTAGAAATATTCACAAAAGACAAAGGATAATAAAAATCTGATGCAATTTAGTACAAGAAAATATTAAAAATGCAAAACAGCTCGCACTTCTCTCTCTCTTCCAGGCCAGTCTTAGAAACATACGTGCAACTTTCCTGACAAAATACCAATCATCATCTCAAACTACACAATTAACCCTAACATCAATAAATCTGAGGGCTGCCTAAAGAAATGAGGTGATGGAGTATAACATTTTAATGGGTTGTAGATTCCTGGAAGTGGACGACTTTCGCTCCTCTTTAACACGTAGATCGAATGTCTGGCTCAGTAACAGCTCCTGTCGCCCCCACATACCATGACTCACTTTGGTGAGAACTGGGCGGCAGAGTCAGTGATGGCATTACACGAGCCCACTCCTCCTCCCTGAAGGGGTGTAAGGTTTTGTGAGATCGTAGACGAAGATGTATCTCCTCATCCCCAGCGAACCCCCTGTGTGACTATCCTGTTCTGTTGAGAACGCCATGTTGAAAGCAGGCTTCGCAGTTCGCAGAAGACAGTAGAAGGTCTTCTCAAAGGGCCAGGTCTGTTTGAGTCCTCTCATTAACTGCCAGAGCCGCCCCTCATCTCAACCTTAATGGATCCCACTTATGCTGTCATCACCATGCCAACCAGTTGTCAACTCTGCTGCAGTGAAGCTTTTGTGCCTCGGAGAAACACGACAGTGTCGCGTTGATCCGTCTCTGTCTGCAACAGGTCAGCACCTCAAAGGATCCACCAAAGAAAATGCTTCTGTTCTTCTCTGAGATCATTTCATGGAGAGCAGGAAGAACAGCTTCTGACACCTTATTGTCGGAGCCCTGAATGCATTAAGATAAGAGGACATCTGAGTCCAGGTCAAATAAAGGTCTATTTATTAGGACCAGACAGGCAGCATAGGAAATCTGCTGGCAGCTGCTCACTTCAGAGGATTAAGGAGGGGAATGGAATATGCACGATCAGCAGGCTTTTTGCTGTGCAGTGCTGGCAGAAATAAAATTAATATCAGTCTATCTATCAGGAGGTCTTATATCACACCCATTGGACATTCATCATCCCAATCTGACTCAGCATTCAATTTTAGTCAATCTAGGTCAGACACAATCCAAAGTAAGTTCCAAGTGCAATTTTACTTATAAAAGTTCCTTTATTAAACTTCCATTCTCATTTTACTCCAGTATTTTAGAGCAACTTCAGTCAGAGTTGTAACAGCCTTGGCAAATTCTAGGGATTTATTTGTGTGTATTTGTTCGACCTACAGTCTGAGGTTTTAGACAGACTAACATTTTCTTGGCTGACACTGGTGGGTTTGCTGGTGTTTTTGGATAACATTATGCTGTTACTAGTTGTAGCCAATTTTCAGGGCTGTCAAAATGAATGCATTAAATGCTTTGATTTGTTTGTGAGAAAAAAAAAAGGATTATAATGCAAGAATAAAATGAAAATGAAAAATTTCAATGTTAATAATTCCATCATTTGGATTCATCAATAATAAAAGCAGGTATGAAACACAAACTGTTATTTATCTGTCAATTCCCAGAATACACAGAAAAATGTTTTTTGTCATACAGTAAGAATAAAATATTTGATTTACAACGATTAATCTGGGATTAATCTTATTAACAATTTGGAATCAGTTGACAGATCTAGTAATCTGACTTCCTGAACATCTTCTTGGGTAATTTTAAGCAACATTTACTAACTTTAAACTTGTGACTTACATTATCCTCAAATGAAAATATCTGTCTACTGAGGTGAAACCACAGATTTTCATTCAGATCCAGGTTTTTGGAGCTTTTCTTGAACAATTCCTTTTTTTTCACCTAAAATTATATTTGGGTCTTTCTAAATTCGAAATGAGAAAATATTTTTATTTACCAAATTTTTATTAGACACTACATTTATTTGGTCTGAATAAAGATGTTTCTGAATTGGTCAAAAATTATTTGGTCTGAATAAAGATGTTTCTGTTTTTTTCTGGTAGGCATGTGTTTCCTACCATTTCAACAGTTCTGGCTGAAGCTTCACCTCCATCTGAAAAAGCAGCCCAGACTGCCACCACACAGGAGGCAGTCACTGCATATTCAATGTTGCCTTTTTGGAACTGTGGCTGAGAACATTTGCTGCATCCTTCGACAGTTGGACGCTCAGTCTGAGCTTCGGCAACACGAAAACAACCTCAGATGCTGCTTCTACATCAGAGAGGGTTTTCATTTACATAAATAAAAATATTTGTTCTGATTTAGACAAAGAATAAAGCTGACTTTTTTTGATATATAGAGTAAATGGTACCTGCCATTATTTTATGCACATTTATTAGTGTTGCAGCCCCTGAACAAGTAGCATCTTCTCTTCAAAATGTACTTTACTTCAAAAAGTAACAAATAACAAGATGTATAAAAACACAATTAAATAGATTTTTTTTTTAATATTATATTTGTACATTATATATGTACATTTCTGCAGATTTTTTGAGATTTGCAATGAAATATTCTGGCGTGTAAACTTTGTATAAACCATGGTAAATTATATTACAGTTATACACGACTACAGATGAAATCTGAGGACATAAAATCAGTATACATTAATCTCTGCTTTGTTCAGTCGGTAATGCCGTCTGTTGTGATTTCACGTTCCATGATTCTCACGCTGTGCCAACACATGCTAAAAGACTGGGTTCTGTTCGCCACTGAATGTGGGTCACCTCCAGCCGGGCTTCATCGGGGAACAACGACGGACACACCGTGCGGAGAAGCAACAAAGACTAGAAGCTTTCGAGAGGCCGTGACTATATTTGTCCCACAGTTGGTACAAGGTTTATTTAGGGTCTGCATGACAGTCGTGACCGACAGACACCGAGGAGAGGCCGACACTGCCTGCAGCAGTTTAGTTCAACGTCTTACACAACAAGAACGTTGTCGGCCATAAATAACACGGCCATTAGTGATTCCTCGGAGGTTTGTAGAATCCATCAGCACTACATGGTCCTACATCATCTGTTGACCTACAGATGGACTGCAACACTGCAGGAGAGACACCTAACAATTTCTTTGTGACAGGTGAAGTGAATGTTGGAGGATGATGGAGTTCATCCTGAGTGAATTACATTCCTCCAAGTCTCATCCCTGGCTCTGACCTGCCTCTCACTGGTGTATATACAAGAGATTAGGCCCGTGGGCCGGACCGGTGGTCGTTCCAGGCTATTTTTATGAAGATATCCGTCCACTTATCCCTTTGGAAAACTGATACGGACACATGTTGCGAGGAACACATGTTGTCAGTCAAAATAAAAATAAAAACAGAAAGAAGTTTCTAACATTGGTTGAAATAAAAATGTATTTGTATTATTTTAGCTTTTAGACACATCGGACTATAACATTGTTCCACGCAGGGAGAGCATCAAACCCACAGCATCGCAACGAGATTTGCTTTTGTAATGCAGTTACACAAGCACACAGCTACGAACAAGATAGCCGTGATTAAACTGTCATTTCTGCTCCTCCTCTTTCATTTCACAGTAGATAAATTGAACATTCACAGGACGGCAGTTTCCCTGTTCTGAAGTGCTGCCAAGCGCGCTCAATAGCCACTGAGTGGCCCTGGCAGTGTAGTTCAGTACCTGGCAAACAAAAAGCTGGCAGTTACCTCTCGTAAGCCATCTGTAACTGCTGCTGTGTCTGTAGCAGGCACACAGGCGCGTCCAGAAATGTCAGATTGTCCGAATGAGCGAATGTCTCTGCTGCAGCAGGGAGATTTAAACACAATATTGTGTAAAACAAAATTTAAAAAAATATGAATGTATTTAATGAAAAAATGAACCATGTGTTACTGAAAGTCTATGGTGTTGTGCTGCCCCGTTCCTGTATTTTCTCTTATTCCCAATGGATCACTAAATAATCAGAAAACAATATGTGGATGCAGATGTAGGATTATGTGGATAAACCGACACGAAACACAATATTCTGCATTTAATGTAGTTTGAAAATAGTGAAAAAATATGATGATTAAAACCTAATGATATGAATGCACTGTTTCATCCTGCAGTTTTGAAGGTCTGCATTCATATGAACCTATAACAGAGTAACATCGCCATCAACTTACCAACAAAGTTTAAATGGCCATTTTAGCACCCTCAAGAGGTGAAGTACCAATGCTATATCCTGTTTTTTTTCCACAAAGAAGTTGCATTTCTATGTTCAACTCTTGATTTTGGAATGGAATATTTTGTTAAAAGGTATCTTCTAAATGAAATAAAAATGTCGACATTCTGTTTTCTTGCTCGGTTTTTTTCTCGTTCTTATGCATAAAACGCCAGCAACTCCCTTAAAAGGTGCAGAATTTTTTTTTTCGTTCTTATGCATAAAACGCTGATGATTTAATGCATATGAAGCCTTAGTCACAGTGTACCAGCAACTCCCTTAAAAGGTGCAGAATGATGCAGTGGAGCATGTTCATTCTCCCCAGAGATTATCACCAATACGTGGGGCAGTATTTATAGAAGTTGCCCCACAGTGGATACCCTTAATCCTGCCCTTACTGCCTTCCATCCCTGCCCAAAGCCTGTGCCTGGACGGCTGTTACTCTCAGTCTCTGCAGCCCCCGGCTTCGACTTCAGCCTCTCTTCATATTAACTGAGATCAAGAGTTTTTCCTGGACGGATCTCAGACTAATCATCGTCATTCTTCTGCTCTCCTTGACCTGCAGCTAAGAAAGAAAAAGAAACAACAATGTCCACCGAGCGTTTTGACTGCCATTACTGCAAAGACTCCCTGCTGGGGAAGAAGTACATAATGAAAGAGGACACACAGTACTGCACCAAGTGCTACGAAAACCTGTTCGCTAATTGCTGTGCTGAATGCTCCACACCAATCAGCTGCGATTGCAAGGTAAGAATAGTGTTGCCTTTAAAGCCGTGGCTTTGACGTCACGGAAAAGACTGCAGTTGTTAATTGCAGAGTTATGTCGGCTCATATTGTGGAGAATGAATGGTTTATAAAAAAATGGACATGATTTTCCTGGTGGAAACAATGGCTGGAAATGTAAAATTCTGAAGTAATTGACATTTTAACCCTGGTTACCCAAGTACAGATGCAAATGCCAAGGAATAGAGTATAATTTGAATTGAGTTTCTCGCTGTAAAAACAATCTCCATTAACGGTGGTTTCTTGCTGTAAAAACAATCTCCATTAACGGTGTTTGTTTCAATTGTTACTTTTCCAAATGCATGTAAGGATAGGTTTTCAAAATTAGATTGAAATAGAAAATAAAACACAACAGAGACAGTATTCAAAGACTTTGTAGTAAATGGAATCATTTAGTGTTTATTTTCCCCTAAACGGGATCATTCAATGAAAAACTGGCAGACTGCTCCATTGAAGTTCTAAAATTAGCAGTTAAGACCTCCAGGAGCCAGGAGAGGAACTCCTCTCCTGGAACATGAATGAATGAAAATGTCTCATGCTGTCGGCCAACAGGGTAGAACATTTATTATCAACTCTCACTTACTTTCATCTTCCTCTTCTAGAAACATCCAAACCCACTTATCCTAGACTATTGTTGTCCTTTATGTAATATTCTCCACAGGACCTGTCCTATAAGGACCGTCACTGGCATGAGCAGTGCTTCAAGTGTGCCAAGTGCAGCCGCTCCCTGGCGGAAAAGGCCTTCGCTGTCAAGGATGATCTGCTGCTCTGCACCGAATGCTACGCCAATGATTATTCCTCTAAGTGTCACACCTGCAAGACCACCATTATGCCAGGTACAATGTCTAATTTAGGTCTAATTTATTCCATTTATTCAAATGGAATTTAAAATTGTAGGCTCTACAAAACGCAGGTGTTGTGGGAACCACCAGTCTGGAGAAACATTCTCCACTCTGGAAACATCTGTAATGACAAATAAGGCTTCTACGTTTCAGCTAAATTGGATATTTTTCCTTATTTTTCTGGAAAACTAGCATTTCACTGCTGTACTTAGAACAGTTTCCAATTATCCTCATATTAAATCATCTCAACTCCTTACTAACTCTACTAGCTTTTGGCTAACCATAACAGATTTTTTATTTTGGTATTTTCATTTCTCTCTTTAGTAATATTTAAAAAATTAAAAATGTTTTCTTTTAGCTATTCAGTGCCAATTTAATCGTAGCTAATTAGAATTTTGGGGGGAAATATTTTATTAGCTGTGCTTTATTTTGACTAACAATTATTTCAAGTTTAACCTAAGCTAGTTAGTTAATTCAGTGTTAGTCCAGTGTTAGCTGAATAAAAATTGGCGAGATGTAATGCATATGTTTTAGCTTTTTCTTTGCTAGCTTTAGCATATTTATGTACAGTATCTTATGGCTAACCTGGAGTCTGACCAAGTGAACCACAAAAACAGGAAAGAACTTCATGATTACTGCTAAAACAGCGTTACAGTAGTAACAATAGTTATTCCTGTTGTCTACTGAATATAGGAGAACGTTAAATAAATCTTTCAAAGTCATACACCTAGGAAAGTTATTTCAAAGATTTTTAGACTTTCAGTTGTTCCCTTCTCTGCAGATAAAGCAGGACTATATTGGGCCTCTATGTTGTCTCTGTGTTTTTCTGTCATGCAGCGTCCATATGCTGACTAAGCTTCTTTCTTCTCCTTGTGCCAGGTTCCCGAAAGATGGAATACAAAGGGAACAGCTGGCACGAGACCTGTTTCCTATGCCACCGTTGCCAACAACCAATAGGAACCAAGTCCTTCATTCCCAAAGACAGCGGCTACTTCTGTGTTTCCTGCTTTGAGAAACAGTTTGCCTACCAGTGCTGTGCTTGTAAGAAGGTATAGTTACAGATGAGTGTATTGACTGACTGACTGACTGACTGACTGACTGACCGACCGACCGACCGACCGACTGACTGACTGACCGACCGACCGGCATATTGAAGAGATACAGATCCAAATGATGTGTGTGTGTGTGTGTGTGTGTGTGTGTTGGTGGTGGGTGGTACCATTAGGCCATCACCACAGGTGGAGTGACCTACCAAGACAAGCCCTGGCACCGTGAGTGCTTCCTATGCATCAGCTGCAGAAAGCAGCTGTCGGGTCAGCGCTTCACCTCCAGGGAGAACTACACCTACTGCCTGGACTGCTTCAGCAACCTGTATGCAAAGAAGTGTGTGGGCTGCACCAAACCCATCACCAGTGAGTCACCCGCTGCACACGTGTTTGCATTCACATGGCCATCGCTCGTGTAGCTCTTCCTTTACATATTCAGCAGCCTGATTGTACAGCTGTGCAGGAACTGATAAACAAACCAGGTGACAGTCACGGCGACGGTACCTTGATGCACTGAACCCTGTTTGCTGTCTGCAGGTCTCGCCGGAGCCAAGTACATCTCCTTCGAGGAGCGTCAGTGGCACAGCGAGTGCTTCACCTGCATGCAGTGTGCCATGTCTCTGGTGGGGAGGGGCTTCCTCACCCAGCGAGACAACATCTTGTGCACCGACTGTGGCAGAGAGAAGTGATCTATGCACCAGGTGTTACAGCGTAATCCCAGTGCTACCAGGGCTTTACACTCTGATACAGATTCTTAATGACCGGCAGACTAACAATGCATGAGCAAACACAACTCAACTCAACACATCAAAACCTGTGATGTTCTATGGTGCTCACTCTGATATTTACTGACTTTATAGAAGCTGTTTTAGGCGTATTACATAATGTGAGGTCACATAGAATTCAACACACATGACTCATCACATTTAGTAGTTACTGTATATGCTGCACATGACTCCTCACATTTAGTAGTTACTGTATATGCTGATGACAAACAACTATTCAAAAATATTTTTTTAAAAATAAAAAAAATTAGACGTATGTTTTGCATTTAAACATTTAACAGAAATAAAAAAAAATAGACGTATGTTTTGCATTTAAACATTTGACATTTAGTCTGCATAAATCTTAATATTCTGTAGAGCATGCAGTTACTCTACGTGCTCTGTAAATGGTGCTGTGAACACAAATTAAACCTTGGGTTGGTGAGTGATGTTTATTCAGCCGATGCATCGTGTAGGCCAACATAAGGTTGTTTTATCATGTGTGCTGCTCATCTATGACTGTACTACAACTACAACAACTTCACACCTTCTTTAAAAATCAACCTTTATAAACACACACACACACACGTGCACACTTCTATAATCATTTGTTTGTTTTTAGAGAAAGAACTAAGCTAAGCTACTCTTGCTAATCGTGTCCACTTCACTTGTCACGTTTGGGATTTTGAGAACAGATAACAGACCTGTGTTACATTACTGCCACCTGCTGGCTATTAAAACAACACAAACTCTTGCAAAAAAGTGAGAAAATAAAAAGAAAGAGCATTGCCACTGCTTTTTAACACCTACATTTTTGTCCTGTTGTTCTTTATATGAACAATTTCAGTAGTTCTCTTATTTCAAACCTGTATATAGCATATTATAGCCTCAGTTATTAGCAAACGTTGTGGTTGTTTGACCTAAAACTGAACACTGTCACATCATTTTCCTCTTTTATTTGAAAGTTTGTTTCTGCAGCTCACTAACAGGCTTTCCTAAATTATTTAAACTAGGACTCTCGACAGGATTTAACCATCTTTTCTAAAAGAATCCTGCTAATGTGCGCTATTTATTTAACCATCCCCAGTTTTCTATTCAACAAATACATATTAAAAAATATATAAACATAAATAGTGGGACAAATGTATTACAAATATATTTAAATAAAAAAGGCAAAATGAAGTCTTCAATAGTTACATAGTTTAAGGATTGTAGAGGAACACATGGGTTTAGGGGAAATTTATACAGTGGCCAGGTGGATAGTGATCTTGCCTTACAGCAAACTGATTTGCATCTTATTTGTAACTGTTGGTGCATTTGTGTGAGTTTTCTTTACTCCAGGTACTCTAGACCCCCTCACTGTCCAAAACCAAACTGGTTCATTGTTCATTCTTATCTGACCATACTGTGGGTGTGAACGCAAGTGTGAATGGCTGTTTTTTCCTGAGATAAAATGACGTCTTGATGACACCTTTGAAAAACCATGCTCACACACACCTACCCTGGAGAGTCATTAAAAACACATGATTCCAACAAAGGAATACCAATAAACCCCACTGTGGTGAATGTGAGGATGAGACTGGGATTCCTTCTGTACATAGCGCTGCCATCCG